TATGAGTTCATATTAATTATTATTATTTAAATATATATATATATATATATTGAAATTGTCAAATTAATATATTTATATATATAAATATATATATATATTAGTTTGTATATTGAGATTACATATAATATATAACAATAGATTTATCTCAATATAATAGATTTATTTTTATATACTTATTATATGTAATAATATTTTATATATAAATTAATAAATTGTTAGATTATTAATAATCATCGAATACAAATACAGAGTAAATATAAATATAATGTATGTATTAATATGTATAAATAATCATAAAATGATGTCTGCACATTCATTTAATAATGAATTAATTCATAATTAATTGATATTCTAGAATATCAATTTTTCTTAACATTTATTACAATTAAAATATGCGTATTGATCAGACAGTGTTGGTTAAGAGTCTATTCTCTTGTATTTCTTGTTCGCAGTATGTGTTTGTGTCTCTGCTGTCACGAGACAGTGTGTACGACGTGCTGAGGAGAATCTGCACACACCTACAGGTGACACACACGCACACAAACACACACACACACTCACTCACTCACACACACACACACACACACACACACTCACTCACACACTCACACACACACTCACACACACACACACTCACTCACTCACTCACTCACTCTCACACACACACACACACACACTCTCACACACACACACACTCACTCACTCACTCACTCACTCTCACACACACACACACACACACTCTCACACACACACACACTCACTCACTCACTCACTCACTCTCACACACACACACACACACACTCTCACACACACACACACTCACTCACTCACTCACTCACTCTCACACACACACACACACACACTCTCACACACACACACACTCACTCACTCACTCACTCACTCTCACACACACACACACACACACTCTCACACACACACACACTCACTCACTCACTCACTCACTCTCACACACACACACACACACACTCTCACACACACACACACTCACTCACTCACTCACTCACTCTCACACACACACACACACACACTCTCACACACACACACACTCACTCACTCACACACACACACACACACACACAGCATGTTAACAGATGTATGTTTGTTTGGTTAGTGTGTAAACAGATGATTTTCTGCGTTTGATCGTCAGGTGAACGGTAAGAAGAGTTTAAGTCTAAAGCAGTACCTGGAGGAACCCGGTTCTCTGTCGACGGTATGAGAAGCATACAGTGATTCCACAGCATTACGAACACGAACACAGCTGTTCTCTGTTGTTTTTAGGTGTGTCTGATAAACTATCGTCTCATATGAAATGCATTTTGTGCAGGATGAGTTTCCAGTGTCCACTGATTTCACGCCGGTGTTGAAATGGCGCCGGAAACCGGCCGCACCCTCCGTATCTTCATCACTGCCCGACCTGCTGGGAAACTCCACGAGCAGCCTGAGCGCAGGAGACACGCTGTACATCGCAGAGACGCCGCTGGAGGGTGAGACGCTAACCGTCACACACATACCACACACACATATCATACACACACACATATCACACGCATATCACACGCATACCACACGCATACCACACACATATCACACACATACCACACACATACCACACACATATCACACGCATATCATAGACATACCACACACATACCACACACATATCACACGCATACCACAGGCATACCACACACATACCACACACATACCACACACATAACACAGACATACCACACACATACCACACACATATCATAGACATACCACAGACATATCACACACATACCACATACATACCATACGCATACCACACGCATATCACACACATACCACACGCATATCACACACATATCACACGCATATCACACGCATACCACACGCATACCACACACATACCACACTCGTATCACACACGTACCACAGACGTACCACACACGTACCACAGACATACCACACACATACCACAGACATACCACACGCATACCACACGCATACCACACGCATATCACACGCATACCACACGCATATCACACACATACCACACACTTACCACACGCATATCACAGACATATCACACGCATACCACACGCATACCACACGCATACCACACACATACCACATGCATATCACACACATACCACACACATACCACACACATAACACAGACATACCACACACATACCACACACATATCATAGACATACCACAGACATATCACACACATACCACATACATACCATACGCATACCACACGCATATCACACACATACCACACGCATACCACACACATACCACACTCGTACCACACACGTACCACAGACGTACCACACACGTACCACAGACATACCACACACATACCACAGACATACCACACGCATACCACACGCATACCACACACATACCACACACATATCACAGACATATCACACATACCACACACATATCACACATACCACACACTTACCACACACATATCACACATACCACACACACATCACAGACATACCACACGCATACCACAGACATACCACACATACCACACGCATACCACACACATACCACACGCATACCACACGCATATCACACATACCACAGACATACCACACGCATATCACACACAAACCACAGACATACCATACACATCACACACGCATACCACACGCATATCACACACATACCACACGCATACCACAGACACATCACACACATCACACACACACATCACACACACATCACACACATACCACAGACATACCACACACATATCACACGCATACCACACGCATACCACACGCATACCACACGCATACCACACGCATATCACACACATACCACACACATACCACACAACTCAAAAGTAACTCAAAAGTAGTGTAATGCATTACAATTCAGAGACAGTAATATTGTAATGTAACTAATTACTTTCAAAAGACAGTAACTAGTAATATATAATGTATTACATTTTGGAAGTAACTTGCCCAACACTGCATACCACACGCATACCACACACATACCACACGCATACCACACAAATATCACACATACCACACACATATCACACACATACCACACATACCAAACGCATATCACACGCATACCACACATATCACACGCATATCACACGCATATCACACACATACCACACACATATCACACGCATACCACACGCATATCACACGCATACCACACACATACCACAGACATACCACACACATACCACAGACATACCACACACATATCATAGACATACCACACACATATCACAGACATACCACACGCATACCACACAAATATCACACACATACCACACACATATCACACGCATATCATAGACATACCACACACATACCACACACATAACACAGACATACCACACACATACCACACACATATCATAGACATACCACAGACATATCACACACATACCACATACATACCATACGCATACCACACGCATATCACACACATACCACACGCATACCACACACATACCACACTCGTATCACACACGTACCACAGACGTACCACACACGTACCACAGACATACCACACACATACCACAGACATACCACACGCATACCACACGCATACCACACACATACCACACTCGTATCACACACGTACCACAGACGTACCACACACGTACCACAGACATACCACACACATACCACAGACATACCACACGCATACCACACGCATACCACACGCATACCACAGACACATCACACACATCACACACACACATCACACACACATCACACACATACCACAGACATACCACACGCATACCACACGCATACCACACGCATATCACACGCATACCACACGCATATCACACACATACCACACACTTACCACACGCATATCACAGACATATCACACGCATACCACACGCATACCACACGCATACCACACACATACCACATGCATATCACACACATACCACACACACATCACACACACCACACACATATCACACACATACCACACACACATCACACACACCACACACATATCACACACATACCACACACACATCACACACACCACACACATATCACACACATACTATATATTTACTATATAAATACATTCATATATATTTGATCTAATTTAATAATTTATTAATTGTAGAATATTTTTATATGTACACTTTTTTATATATTATTGTATTAGCTTATATAAATAAAAGGCATATAAATATATATATACACTGTATACTAATATATTACATCAAATTCCATACTATAATTACAACTATAAATGATATTATTAAATAATAAATTCAATTAAATCTATATGAATATATGTATAAAATTATTAAAATTTAACACAACAACATAGATGAAATTGTGTCTACAATGTGTTTGACACATGTATAAAATGTAGAATATCTAATAATTAATTAATTATATAATAGTTTACTTCTAAATGTGTTATATATGTGTTATACTCATTTATATGTATTTCTATTTATCATATATAAATAAAAAACATACAAAGACATTAATATATAATTAATAAATTACATAAATAATTACAAATTCTACTATAACTATACACACACACACACACTGTAATGGTTTCCGTTTATATTTAAAATGATTTATGATGACTGATTTATCATTATAAATTGCATATATTAACATAGCATGTGTTTGACGGCTTGTGTGTTTCACTCTCGATGCTCTATAGCCACTTCATTAATGATTCACATTGATATTCATAATTTAACACCATCATTCATTCGTTAGTTTCTTAGTTAGTCACGTGTTTGTGTTTATTCTTGTTCGGCGAGCTCTCTGTTCCTGTCCTTCACGTCTCTGTCCAAATATTCGTGGCCTGTTTCTGGGCTAAAGGTGACGGCTGTCGACACACTGGTTTTCAGGAGAGTGTTTCTGGCCGCAGACTTCTATCCTCAGACGCCGTTCAAACACGAGAGCCACACGTTGTGTGATTATAATTTGACACGCTCACGTTCGAATACGAGACGCTTGTAAGGAGAGTTAAAAGCGGTGCTTTTAAAGGAGATGTTTGTTGTGTTTGCTGGATTTGTGTCGCAAACAAACGGGGAGTTCTTGGCTCTGCGTGAAGCTTTCGACACAACGAGACGAAGCCAAAGAGCTGATGAGGCCGTGATGTTCTGTGATCCTCAGAGAGACGACTGGAGGCCGAGAAGATCCTGCTGACCGAACCCGAGTCTGAGCTGGGTCACGTGGAGTATCATCTGCTCTGGTTCTTCATTCTGCTGTGAGTCCTTCTGCTGCCTTTCACAGTTAGAGTAATTGTGCATGCACAAAAATTATCAAGTAGTTTACGAGAAAGACTCGTGTGTTTTTGTAGTGTAATGTAATGCCCTCTGCTGGTTGCTCTAAAGCCTGATTCGGACGGTTATTCTTTCCCATATGTGACCCTGCAGCACAAAAGCAGTGTTAAGTCGCTGGGGTATATTTGTAGCAATAGCCAACAATACATTGTATGGGTCAAAATTATAGATTTTTCTTTTATGCCAAAAATCATTAGGATATTAAGTAAAGATCATGTTCCATGAATATATTTTGTCAATTTCCTACCGTAAATATATCAAAACGTAATTTTTGATTAGTAATATGCATTGATAAGAACTTCATTTGGACAACTTTAAAATTGATTTTCTCAATATTTAGATTTTTTAGCACCCTCAGAAAACTTAATTATTGATTAGTAATTAGCATTGCTAGGAACTTCATTTGGACAACTTTAAAGATGATTTTCTCAATATTTAGATTTTTTTGCACCCTCAGATTCCAGATTTTCAAATAGTTGTATCTCAGCCAAATATTGTCCTATCCTAACAAACCATACATCAATGGAAAGCTGATTATTCAGCTTTCAGATGACGTATAAATCTCAATTTCGAAAAATTGACCCTTATGACTGGTTTTGTGGTCACATATGTGATTTTCAGCGTTTTCAGGGGTTAGTCTGTGATTTTTATTGCTGTCTGAATCCAGAATGCCGGTGTTTTTCTCCCACCACTCGTGTAAAAATCCTACTGCTTTCTGACAAACATCAAGATCGTGTGGTGATTTAATTCCCGGCCGGATCCACATCTCTGAGTTTACACCTTTGCACTTCGCTGTGATTTGTGTGCATATTTATTCCTGGAAAAAATGCTGGAAAGTATTTACAAGAACAGTATTTCATAACCGCTCCACCACAGCGAGTGAGACCAAAAAGAAGAAAGAGAAGAAAAGCATGTAAACATTTGAAACGGGTCATTATTATGGCACCAACATATGCAATACAGTTTTAAAATGTGTGTTATATAGGCCTACAATTACATGCATAAAAATATAAACCAAGCAGCTTTATGTAAATACTCTCTCACACACACAAACACACACACACACTCACACATAAACACACACACACACAGATGCACTGATAACAGACGGTTCGCTGGTGTCCTTAAGGAAGTGTGTGAAATCCGTGTAGTAATCACATTAATGCTGAGCATGTGCCTCATCATCATCAGACTGTCTGCTGCTGACACTGACTCATCACAACACACACACACACTCACACACACGCACACACACACACAGTTTGAATGGGGGCATTCCATAGACTTCCATGGCTTTATATACAGCTAGTTACAAATACTATAACAGAAAACGTCTCCAGGTTACGCATGTAACCATGGTTCCCCGAAGGGAATGAGACGCTGCGT